ATGTAGGAAGTTCTTCAGTGAGCAAAAACTTACCCAGAAATTTCACTGGGAAAAAAAAACCCCAAAACACCTGTGGATTCTTTCAACTAATCTTACAGAGAGCCTGCTTCTGTGCTGGTTCCTGGGTGTATTTACGTCCATCGCCTCCTTTCTCTTTGGAGGCTTACAAAGGGCACACCTGCCAGCAGGTGTGTTTAAGCTCCAGCTGAAGAGACTCCAGCTCAGAAAAGTTAAGGAAGTTTCCCTGGGTCACAAGGTGGAATCCCAACCTCAGTTTCAGGACATTTCACTTCAAGGATGCACTGGAAATTATTATTTCATTTCTTGTCTCTCTTCCTTATTGTTTGTAATTCATTATCGCTAAATATACATATTTTAACAGTGCTTGGGTGTAGCCTGTAAACTGCCTCTAAAATTTATCTCCCTCCCCCACATATGCATAAAGTTATATAATTTATCGAGCTAATTGTTATTTTATCAGCCCTTCTGGGTCATGGTGTAGAAGGCTCTTTTCTTCCTACTGCTCAGCTCTCTATATGCCAAAACTTTTTTTTGTTTTGTTTGTTTTTTAAGGTGTACACGCCTTTAACTGTAATGGGGAGAGGCAAGGACAAAGATTAACTAAACACATCTGGGTCCTAATTTCTGTCTCCCTTTGCCGTGGTGGCTGGAGGCTCCAAAGGTCCACCTACCCACCCAAGGACTGCAAGGTCAAGTGTAAGGTAGCATCCTCCCTCCCCTGCTGGCCCCCTACCAGGAGGAGAGCAGCCAGGCTAGACCTTGGTCTGCCTCTTCCTACCAGGGCGCTGCCAGGCCTCTGTGCCACGTAGGCAAGAGTCGGAAAGTTAGGAATGGAGCTAGTGCCCACGTGCCAAGCACAAAACAGAGAAGGGTTAAGCTGCTCAGTAAGGCCTCAGGAGCCAGGCAGCTGCAGGGCACCAGCCTGAATGGCCCCCCTGCCCACCACCCTTCCGGGAAGAATGCTTCTCCAAAGAGGCACTCAGCCACTGACATTTCCTCCCAGATGTCCTAAAGGAAATCCGAGGGAGGCCTCTAGTACCCAGGCCGCTCATCACCAGTGTGAGAGAGGCATTGGAGATTTGGGCTGGGTTTGGCTTCTACGGAAACCTTCAGAATTGTTTTCATTTAATTCTTTTATTAAAAAAAAAATTCTACAAAGACAGATCAATGTCAATTTGTATTTCTATTATCCTTCTCTCAAATCTGCAGGGTATGGCACCTTCCAGCCAGTGGTGGGTTCGTTGTTTCACAGATAAGCTCAATGGCACAGTTATGGGCACACTGGGCCATTTCCAGCATGGGGTATCCCAACAACCAGACACTGGCTCTGGAGCAACCTGTGAGTGTGGGCCATAGCAGCATCCTGTCACTAGCTAGGAGAAGGCAGTGGTGAGGCGTTCACGCGTTTCCTTATGCCAGGGGGAACTTTAAAGCCACTCTCTGAAGCCAAGATGGAGAAAAAAGGGCCCAGCGAGGCTGTCCCTACTCTCAACCAGAAGGAAAGGGTCAAGCGCCACCCTTCGGAGCTCTGAACTGACATTTTGCAACAAAGTATCAAATTGTAAGAATCTTGAAAGGTACTTTGGTTTCCAATTATGAATCTTTTCACCAGAGTACTTGCTCAATAAAGCCAAGATTCTGCAAACGTGCAACAAGTAACATTTGGACCAGAATTGGACAAGTTGACTTTGTCCACCCAGGAACTGGGAACTCATCTCTTAACGCTCAGCGTGGCTACCTGGGGACCCCCTTGACCTGCCTCGCTGGTTCGTCTTATTTGTTCATTTCTCTGAACCCCGCTGAAATCGACCCAAAGAAGGGGGAGGCTCACCCCCAAATCGCTCCTCCAAGAACCCGCAGCAACTCTCTGTCTTTAAGGAGTTTCCAGCTCAGCCCGCAAAAGGATGTCACACAAAAAGAAAAAAAATCACAAACTCGAGAGTCCGGGGGAGGACCCGGCGGCCCCTGCCCAACCCCACCACATGGTCATATTCAGCCGGGGGACCCTCACGTACCTGGAGCCTAGGCCGGCAGAGTGGACGCGCCACGTCTAGGTCTCCACCCGCACCGCCTCCGGCGCTTTATACTGCGTTCCCCCTCCCCCCAACTCCCCAAGTAGCCACGTCTGAGCGGCGGGACAGGGGCGGGGAGCCACCGAAGGTCTGTGCGAGAGGTGGGGGGTATGGGAGCCCCCGAAAGTCCAGGGTCGGGCGCTCTAGCTCCAGGGAGGGCGGAGTGGGGCTCCCGGGGTGCAGGGGGTCGCCCTGGATGCAGAGGGGGTCCTGTCCCGGGAAGGGGCGGTGTCGGGGGAGGGGCCCGCAGAGGTCAAGCGCGGGGTGGAGCGCTCGGGTTTCACCCGGCCCGCGAGGGGGAGGAGGAGCCGCGGCGNGGGCGAAGCACCCCGCGCTCCCAGCTCGCGCGCCCGGCGCGGCTCTACTCGCCGGGAAGGCGGCGCTGGCGGCAGCTGTTCTCGCTGCACTCGCTCCCGCGCGCTGCCCTTCCGCGGCCGGTGGGCTCCGCAGTCCCCCGCCGGCCGCTGCCCTGTCCGGGGGCGGCCCCCAGTCTCCATCGCCCCTCCGCGGGTCCGCGTGGACCATCCGGGGGCTCCCCTGCGGAGCTGGCTCGGGCACCCAACTTTGCCTCCTCGCCTGTCGCCCCCTCTGGGAGCGAACCTGCTCAGCCCCGGACAGACCCGGCCACGCGCCGGAGGACGGCGACCTCATCCCGGAGTGCAGCAAGTGAGGGGCAGCTGCTGCCTCGACTTCCCTCGCGGGCGCCGGAGAGAACCCTCAGACCGTTCTGGTGCTGCAGGCGCTGGGTGATCGGCACGAGGAGAGCGCATCGCACCTGGTGAGCTGCCCCTGCCCCACCAAGGCCCTAGCCCCCAAGGTGCCGCGTTGCTGGCGGGGACCTGGGGGAGGCAGTGGTCGCCGGGTGGGTCCTGTCAGCCTTGGGCAGGGTGGATGTACAGGCCTGGGCGGGGGACCGCGCGCGGGTGGTGGTGCGTAAGGATTAGGACTACCATCAGTGCGGGGACTCCCGTTGGGCTGGTGCACGGCTTGGAAGTTTGTGTCCCTGCCCTTGCCGAGGTCTGAAGCGTGCACAGGTAAGGAGCCAAAGCGACCGGATGGGCGACCGGGCGGTGGGCGAGGCGGGAACCCTACCCAAGGAAGGTGCGCAGTGGAGGTCTGTGCCCGGACCGGGCGCGCGTCCAGGCTCGCATCGTTGGGAGCAAAGGGCTAGGGGTCCCGGTAGCTGGGACTTCGCGGTCTCGTAGCCGCCGCTTCGCAGCCCCCAGCTGCGGCAGGTTTTCCTGTTCGAGTTACAAAGGCTTTGCAGCGCGCGTGAGATGCTCAGATGCAGTGGGACTCGGGCTCAACTCCGTCCAGCGCTTTGGTTAGTAAGGGAGACTGAGGCCGGGGCCGCCCTGAACATCAATGCCTGGGTCGCAGAGGCCTGGGGAACCGCCTACTCAATGGGCTGCTGGCTGGCCAGGCCCTTTCTGCGGGCATCTCTGCACCGCTCCACGGATTTCGTATCCCCTGGTTTAGGGTTTCGGGGCAGGAGGCAGATCCGGGCCCCGGAGCGAACTGGTCCTCCTCCTAAGATGTGCGGGCGAACCACCGAGGAGGAATGATGTCGTCAGGGTCGCCGCCCGCGGCGCCAGGAGCCGGCCTAGCGCAGTCAGAGCCGATTGCCGGCTTTGGCGGGAAGCGCTTTCACCTCCTAGCCTTTTGCTGGTTCTGTACCTGGAAGCAGCTGCTCTGAGTTGGGATTTAACTTTCCTGCGCCTTCTGCGTCCCGGGAATCCCCGGCAGGGGGCGCTGAGAGCGAGCGCTGGAAGAGGGAGAGAGGATGCTAAGAGCAGGACTCAGTCCTGGGTGAGTGAGTGGTTGGGGGTCCCATTCAGCAAATAGCAGGACCAGGCAGCTCTCTCAATAATTTCATAGGGGTGGAGGGTGAGGGCAGCTATCTGCTTACCAGGAGGAGCTGTCAGCATTGCTAGAAGAAGGAACAGGAAAAGTGGTTGCCAAACACGGTCCTCTGCATAGAAAGGTTCTTTCCAGGGACAGACATATCCCTGCAAACTCCTCCTGTCTGTGCGTCTGCCTTCCCCTGTGACGGCTGCCTTTGCTCAGAAAAAACTCGAAGTGGAGTGAAGGCAATGCGAGTTATGTTTAATACCCACCAAGTTCTGCTTCTCCAGAGCACATTAGTTCAAACTCCGAGAGTTTCAAATGATTGTTGCAGCTTGTTGTTAAGAAAAACAATCATATGTCACCGTTAGCTTCTCCAGGAGAGTTGTGTCCTCATGGCCAAGTTTGGGAGCAGCAGATATGTTACTAATTATAGTCAGTCTTTCCTAAGAAGACACAGAAAGACAAGAACAGGCTTTACTAGGGAAGATTTTTAACACCTAATGAGGATTGCTAAGTTAATTGCTAATTAATGCCAGTTTCATTAGTGAAGAGAGGGCAAAGCTTATCATGCTTATTTTGAGTGACCAGTTCACAATTTCATTTCAAGCAGAGAATTCCTTAAGTTGTGTATCACTTATAAAATAACTTTTCTTGTCATGCCTTTGTTTACACCAAAGGAAACATGGATTTCTTTTTCTTTTTTTTTTTGCCTCAAAGATTTTTATCCATGTTTATTTTAAATGAAAAAGCAGTGTGAAATGTAACTGTCTGGGCCACTTGAAACAGATTTCCTTGTGTTCGTTTCTTATAGAAACTTTGCCAGGAAACAGCAGTTGCTCCAGGGTGTCGCACACACAGGCACACTAATCATTTGCATACTCACGGAACCAAGGGACGATGAACTAGTACCTGCTTTTACATGCTTTTTGCCTGTACACACTTTTCTTAACGGGGAGAAGATGGATGATGGTAATCATTTTGTGCCTTTTATGAGTTGTACTAAGCTATTTGATGGTTTTAATGGCAAACAGCTGTGAGATCCCTGCTGAGAGCAAAGACTTTAGTCTCCTGGGTGGTAAAGCTTGTCTCTGTCCAAAAAAAGTTTTTGAGATGTTCAGAATTTGGGAATAATAAGCCTGTGTTCCTCACTGCCATTTCCTTTTCGAATTATGTCTTCACCTGCCTGGATGGAACAAAACATAGAAACAAACAGCAGTGGCTGTGAGACCCTAATGAATATATGCACATTCACGGAAACTTTGGCATAAGCTTTAGAGGGTTCATGGACCTTCTGAAACCCCATCCATAGCTTTGCAGTAAGGAATCTTGCTTCAGAGTCACTTTAGACTCTTGATCAGGGACAAATGTTCAAGCCAACCACCTTATCTCTGTACTGCATGAAATTGCTCAAAATGACACATGCTGGCTCCTTGAGACTATGTCAAATGGCCCCGATGTTAGAGAGAGCTGCTAAACTGGACCGTTATATAGTTTTTATTAACTTGGTGGTTATTTTTAATGATTCCATATGTCTTTTTTTTGTTTGTTTGTTTTTGGTTATGAAATCATTGAAATGGAGGCTTTGCTTCTGCTATACATAAATGATTAGCCAAAGGTATATAGGCATTCCATGACATAAACAAGTAATCATGAACTCTAGATTTAACGGAGATGAGAAACTAATCCCTAAGAGGTTTGGATTACAAATCATATCGTTTGCAGGGTAGAACAAGCCAATTAGTGTATAAAATGTCCCAGTCAAGGAACCCATTTTTGTAGTAGTTTGTGTACAAGTGTTTGAGGAAAGTAGTCGCACACCCTGCCATCACTCATCCATAATTTTTTATTCTAAAATTATACCAAATTTGTATTTAAAAATGCTTCCAAAACTGTTGCTATAGTTACTCAGACAGAATGCTTAGGGTATAATTATAACACCGAGATGACAAGTTTTTAGTGTTAAATAATTTTTAAATGTAAATTACGGTGTCTAACAAATTGCGCTCCACCAGAATACAAAGTGTGTCATGTGGGACCTTGTACATTTCTGTCCACCTGCATCTATTTGCAAATTTAGACCGAGAAAGTGAACCATTTTCTTGAGTCCTAAGATGAGTATCCATAAGTGCTTTAAGTTGTTTATATTGTCTTTATATACTGTTGCTGACAACACAGACATTTTCTCATGTGTTCCCACCAACCTTTTAAAATTGAGAAGCAAAAGTTTTGTTGAAAATAACTGGTTTTCCTCACTCTGCCTGCTGCCTTGTAGAAATGATTTGCCATAGATGGGGGGGGGGGCGACCTGCTTTCTCTAATTCCTGCACACGTTGGTAGCATCATACAGGTACATTCAACAGGTGAGGGGTAGCTCACTGGGAAGCAGTTTGAAGAAGCAGCTTTTGGTAAACTTGATCAATATATCACTTATTTCTTTGGTGTATTTGTCAGGTTCTGGTTATCTGATGTATAACATCAATTTCTAATAGCAAGCGAAGGAGAAAAAAAATTAAAGTAAGCTAGAATATACTTAGCAAAACTTTTCACTTTCAGTGAGCCTACCCCAGACTTGTTTTGATTCAGAATTTAAGCCAAACAGAACAAAGCCAATGAGAACTTGATCCAAGAGAAGGCTGTGTACGAGAAATGATTTATTATAACATGCTGGTATTGACACAGTTACTTTCTGCCGTCTGAAGGTTCTAGACCCAAGGAAACCTGGCTCTGAGTTTCGCAGACTATTTTGAAGCCAGGCAACTTCAAAGACAAGTTATATTTCACCTGGGCCATGACATTTAAAATGGGATTAACCCAACAGTGGGTTCAAGAAAACAAAAATTGTCTCAAAGGAATTGCTGTTGTTTTTTTTTCCCCCCTTTTTTTCCATTATTGTCCAAGATTAATGGTTGTTTGACAGAAGCAAAGATGGACTCACTCTATTTTCCTTTCCTAAGTTTTAAAATATATTGGCAGTACTGTTGCACTTGGAAAAAATAAAACCGTTCTGTTCTTTATTCTTGCCCCCCAAATATACTGGAATTGCTTTCCCGGTTAATACTGAAAAATGCTATATTTTAAAAGAGACTAAATTTTTTAGGGGGTGAATTTCTTTTATTTCTGGAAGGCCATGAACCCACTAATCTTATATCTTTCCATATTTCATTCATTATTGTCACTGTATCTCTGCAGAATTGGCTGACTCGAGTTCATGTAGAGTGATGAGGAAGTATACCCTGGAACAATTTTATTTCATGTTGCATTTCTGTGTACATTTGAGAGTAGATCACATTACTGTAATAGGTAATTCAATTACAGATATGTATGATAAGTAAGCAGGAGAGTGATGCTATCAGAGACCAACTCTCCTGGGGAAATTACACTGGATTTGCTGAGATGTGAAATTAAAGACGTTGAAGGCAAGTGACAATCAGGATTGAGCAAGGACAAATTGTTCACAGGAAATAGAGCCTCTTTTTAGTCAGTTCAAGTTCATTCAACATTTGACAATGATATATGATGTGCCTATGTAAAGAGAAGGAGAGCCCCCACCCCCCCAAAATTAAGAAAAAGTCAAGAAAAATTCTCCTAAGTTTCCTATGAATTTCCTGTAAAATAATAAAAAGGCTAGTGTTTGGCTAAAACTTCTCAGAAGGGGTGTGTTCTCACAAACTGAGTCCAGATAAGTTCCACACAAGGAGCTGACCTTTCTGTAAAAAAAACTGGAAATGTGACACATCTCGGTTAGGATTTCCCAAGCTGTCCTCCGTCAGCCACCAACGGTGGTGGCTGCCCGCTGTCAGGACTGCTCAAGGACGCTATGAAAAGAGGATGCATGGGAGGCCAGGGACATTTATGGTTGGGTAGCCTGCAACCAAATGGATTTTAGAATCACAGTGGCTTCTGTGGTTATGCACAGGACCAAGATTTAGA